AAAATGACGATTTTTACATCATTATTATTACTACATGCCTCACTTCATTACCAGAGATGATGAGGGTTAGGTGTTGATAAGATGGTTCCCGGTCAGCATGTGTAGAATAAAAAACATGCTTTATAATTTGGACATACAGAGGACATAATAGGCCTTATGAGAGTTGTTTGAATGACTTGTGAGGCACTTGGCCTTTAATAAGAAACACTTCTAAGGCCCAATAAATAAAAATGCACTTCCTGTTTAATGGGTTAATTCCATCAGATTCAGTCTCATACTGGATGACTAAATCTCCATTTTAACAGAGAAAGTCCTCAAGGTCAGGTTGTTAGGATTAATATTTGGAAATTATAATGTATCCCATGTATTAATTCCTTCCAGTCTGAAACAGACTTGACAGATACTGTTCCTATTTAATATTTCCTGATGTTAGTTTTTAACTGGAAATCAAATTTTTGCTAAATAGGAAATTAACCCAAGTAAAGTAATTAATTTCCTCTTTTACATATAATTTAGATATGCAAACTTCACTAGACGTGCCATCTCCGATATTTTTAAACTTAATCTAAAAACGAACCAAGTGAAGGCCTGCTGTGCTGTTGTAAAGCCTCCAGGATGTAAACAGGCCAAATCACTGTGAGCTGTACAACAAGGATCAAATGATAACCCTTTGGTAACAGAGCCTCTCGCTGAGAAAAAGTAGTGTGAAATGTATTTATTTTCAGGTCTCTGTTTACTGTGGCCAGCCAGTCACAGTGAGGTGGGTGGGGTCAGTCATTTACGGTAGTGGGCATAGTCAGGGGCTGAAAATTATTTGCTCACTACTTCCTGCACTCATTTCACTTATAAGCTTCAGGTATTTGTCCCATAGAAACGTCTAGTTACTCCCAAGACTGCACAAGGTATCTTATGTGTGAAAGCTTACTGTATGTGTGAGAGTTAGTTTCAGTTCATGCGTTCACTTCTGACTTCATGTTTGTTGTATGTTAAAGCCTTGCAAGCCTAATTGTGTCACTCTTCAGGAGGGAGAATGATGATCAATTATTATTTTATATACACAGCAAGGGGTTGAGCCTGAGTCTGAAAGGTACTCATTGACAGCTTTTGTAAGTTTTATTGGGCTAAACGCCCCTCGTATGTAAAACAAGATCTATAATGATGTAACAGATGAATGATAATTATTGGTGTATTGCTATAAATGCAGTGTATTTTTATTATGCTTTGTCTATCATATCTAACTGTATGGTTGTCTTTTTGTAACCATAAGAGCATTTTAAGGTGTATTCAAAGATCCCTTATTGTGAATATAAAGTGATATTTTCCAGACTGACTGGCAACAACAGAGAGATGATAACTGCAAACCTATGGATGGTTGTTGTCTGTGGTCTTTAGAAACAGATTTTTTTATACACAAGATATTGAATTTATTTATTTTTTGGAAATGTATAATGCTACGTGACAATACTTTTATGAAAGAAATAAAAATTAAATTGCTCTATCTGCAGTCCAGTCATTTTTCTTTAGTCAGTTGTGAAAATATCTGTAGGTCCTCTTTGTTTTATAAGATTATTATAATAATAATAATATAATAATAAAATAATACAAGTGAAAAGATAATGCAAATGAACATGCTTCTCCCAAATGAGGTTGTAGATTGTGGTTAATAGTGTGTTATTAGTATATGAAAGAAAAAAAAGTTTAAAAGGTTAAGATTTTGTTGGGTTATTTTGCTGTATTTAAAGACCTACAATCAATTCTGCAGTTATAAGAGGTTCCAACTACAAAACTGGCTGTGGTGGTAGTGGAAGACTTCCTTAATGTCAGTAAAAGTAGCAATATAACAATGTAAAAATACAATAAGTAATGTTACCCCATTACTTAAGTAAAAACAGATAGCCTATCTTCTGCGAAATGTGGCTACTTTTATTATAAAAGGTACTCATTATGCAGCAATCAGATTATATTATTGGACTTCAACGGGATATGAAGACATTTTAATCTACAGTAATGCATCATATTTTACAAACTGACACTATGTTTTGTATTTAGCAAAGTAACTAGTAACTATAGCTGTTAAAACATGTAAAAAAGTAAAAAATGACAATAATTTACTCTCAAATATGAGTTCAAGTACCTCATGACTGTTTTTACAGTACTTTAGTAAGTATAGGTGGTTCCTTTCCATCATTTTAAAGTGCAGGCTATACAAAAGGACATGCAAACTCATTATAATTTATTTTGCAGTTTTAATGTTATGAAATAACGTAGTTTGTCCTTCTGTAGTTGCCGTAGCCAATTCAGAGATTACAGGAAGCCGAGGAAGGATTTGGAGCTGGGTGGGGAAGAAAAACAACTTAATATGTCTTTTTCAGATGCGAAAATAAAACAAAACCAGCCACGTTTGTAATTATCTTTAATCAGCTGCTTCATTTTTTTTTTACACTGGGTAAAAAATAAAAAATAAAAGTGTGTTCGGCTTGTCAGAGAGACTTTGATTTTGAAAGCGCTAACAGGAAGTCATGTACTGACACTTCCCCCTGTTTGTCAGTGAGAAAAAAGTGCGTGTTTGTTTGCGGGTCTTCTGTTACTCAAACAGTGTCCCTGGCTCCTGGAAAACAGCGGACAATGACCTCCGACGGTGGGATTCAGATACCGAGCCGCCTGCCGCTGCTGCTGACCCACGAAGGGGTGCTGCTGCCGGGCTCCACCGTCCGGCTCAGCGTGGACTCTCCGCGGAACATGCACCTGGTCAGCCAGCGGCTGCTGAGGGGGACTTCGCTGAAAAGCACAATCATAGGAGTGATTCCCAACACCAGAGACCCAGAGCACGACACCGACGACCTCCCCACGTTGCATAAGTAATGAACATTTTGTCTCATACAGCTGGATAGAGGCTGCACGGGTTGAGTGGTGGTCGTGGTGTTTTGGAGAGGAGACATATGAGCTGGCTGTAACTTAAAGGACCCACAACCTCGGGGTCGTGACCCCCACCAAGTGGTCAGAAGAAGATAAAAACCTGCCACATCTGGCATTTTCTTAATCTGCACTATTAGTCGAAATATTATCGAAATCGCAATATGCAAATCGCAGGATTACGATTTAAGAAAACGTGTTTGTTTGCTACACCCCCCAAAACCATCACCATCATGATTTACATAGTTTGTTTTAGTGAAAATTCCAATTTGTGATGAAAATGATAATGAATTATGTTATTACCATAGCATGCAGCCTTAGTTTGGACCTTTTAAGGGCCTCTAAAAATGATTCAAACTAAACAATCTGAGAAGAGAAAGTCATTCATTAGGCAGAAAAGCTTCTCCTAGTGAGATTTTTGTTATGAATGTGTCCCAATGAACCCTCACAGGAATAGATTTTGTATCACAACACTGAGGGAAGTCCACGTCCTTTTCCATATGGTCGCATAAGCTTAAAACATCCTTTTTTCCCACTTATTTTGGGGCCTCTGCAACCCCAGACCCATACTGTGGGAGACCCCTCCATTCAAATTATGTGCAGTTTTAGCCAGTTAGGTCTTATTATTATGTAATGCTAATGATTTATTTT